ATCAATGAAATTGAAATAATTTAAAAAATGACAGAACAAAAAGTTGGTTCTTTGAATAAATAAATAAAATTGACAGACCCTTAGCTATGCTAACAAAGGGAAGGAGAGAGAAAACTCAAATTACTAACATCCATGATGAAAAAGGAAATATCATGACATACACTACAGAAATACAAAAGATAATTAGAAATTATTTTGAAAACTTGTACTCCAATAAAATAGAAAATATCAAAGGCATTGACAAATTTCTAGAGTCATATGATTTGCCCAAATTGAATCAGGATGATATACACAAAGTAAACACATCAATTTCAAGTGACAGAATAGAAGACACCATCAAAAGCTGACCAACTAAGAAAAGCACAGGACCAGATGGATACACAGCTGAGTGCGAGTTCTAAAAGACCTCTAAAGAAGAAATAATACCAATACTCTTCAATTTATTTCAGGAAATAGAAAATGAGGGAGTACTTCCAAACTCATCCTATGAGGCCAATGTCACCCTGATTCCAAAACCAAGCAAAGACACATCAAAGAAATAAATCATCAGATGAATATCTCTAATGAACACAGATGCAAAAATTCTCAATAAAATTCTTGCAAATCAAATATAAAAATATATCAAAAAGATAGTGCACCATGATCAACTGGGGTTCATCCCAGGGATGCAAGGTTAGTTCAACGTAAGGAAATCGATAAATGTAATTCATCACATCAATAGACTTACAGATAAGAACCATATGATCATCTCAATAGACAAGAAAAAGCATTGGAAAAAATACAGCACCCTTCATGTACAAAACGCTAGAAAAACTAGGGAAGACAAGAACATATCGCAACATTGTAAAAGCTATCCATGCTAAGCCCCAGGCTTACATCATTCTAAACAGAGAAAAACTGAAAGCATTCCTTTCTTAAAACTGGAATAAAACAGGGATGACCTCTTTCACCACTTTTATTTAACATAGTTCTTGAAACACTGGCCAGAGCAATTAGACAGATGAGAGAAATTAAAGGGATACAGATAGGAAAAGAGGAACTCAAATTACCACTATTTGCCAATGATATGAATCCATACCTAGAAGACCCAAAAAATTCCATCAGAAAACTTCTAGAACTAATAAATGAAATCAGCAAAGTAGCAAGATACAAAATCAACTCCCATAAATTAAAGGCATTTCTATATATCAGTGACAAATCCTCTGACAGGGAAACAAGGAAAACTACCCCCATTTACAACAGCCTCAAAAAAAATGCTTGGAAATCAATCTAATGAAAGAGGTGAAAGACTTCTACAATAAAAACTACAGAACACTGAAGAAAGAAGTTAAAGAAGACCTTAGAAGATAGAAAGATCTCCTTTGTTCTCAGATAGGCAGAATTAATATTATCAAAATGACCATACTACCAAAAGCACTATACATATTTAATGCAAGTCCAATTAAAATTCCAATGACATTCCTCATAGAAATAGAAAAAGCCATCATGAAATTCATCTGGAAAAATAAAAGACATGGAATAGCCAAAGCAATCCTTAGCAAGAAGAATCAAGCAGGTGGCATCAGTATACTAGACCTTAACTATATTACAGAGGAAATAGTAACAAAAACAGCATGGTATTGCAGCAACATAGATTCGTAGACCAATGGTACAGAATAGAGGTCACAGAGACAAACCCATATAATTACAATTATCTTATATTAGACAAAGGTGCCAAAAACATACATTGGAGAAAAGATAGGCCCTTCAACAAATGGTGCTGGGAGAACTGGAAATCTGTATGCAACAAAATGAAATTAAACCCCTATCTCTCACCATGTTCAAAACTCAGTTCAAAGTGGATCCAGGACCTAGAAATAGAGACCCTGTGTCTAATAGACGAAAAAGTAGGCCCCAATCTCCATCATGTCAGATTAGGTCCCTATTTCCTTAATAAGACTCCTATAGTGCAAGAATTAAAAAGCAAGAATTAATAAACAGGATGAATTCAAACTAAAAAGTTTCTTCTCAGTGAAAGAAACAATCAGTGAGGTGAATAGAGAGCCTACATCTTGGGAGCAAATTTTACCACTTGCACATCAGATAGAGCACTAATTTCTAGGGTATATAAAGAACTCAAAAAGCTAAACACCAAAAAACCAAATAACTCAATCAATAAATGGGCCAAGGAACTGAACAGACACTTCTCAGAAGGTGATATTACAATCAATTAACATATATATGAAAAAAATGTTTGACATCTCTAGCTATTAGAGAAATGCAAGTCACTTCAGTAAGAATGGCAGCTCTTAAGAATACAAACAATAAATGTTGGTGAGGATGTGAGGGAAAAGGCACATTCACATATTGAGGATGGGACTGCAGAATGGTGCAGCCAATCTGTCAAGCAGTATGGAGATTCCTTGGAAAATTTGGAATGGCATCACCATTTGACCCAGCTATAGCACTCCTTGGTCTATATCCAAAGGACTTAAAAACAGCATACTACAGGGACACAGCCACATCATTGTTTACTGCCGCAAAATTCACAATAGCTAAACTGTGGAACCAAACTAGATGCCTGTCAGTAGATAAATGGATAGGAAAACTTTGGTATTAACACACAATGGAACAATACTCAGCATTAAAAGAGAATAAAATCATGGCATTTGCGGTTAATGGATGGAATTGGAGAATATAATGCTAAGTGAAGTTAGCCAATCCCTAACTGATGAATGTTTTCCTGATATAAGGAGGCTGATTCATAATGGGGTTGGGAGGGGAAGCATGTGAAGGTTAGGTGAACTCTACATAGGGCAAAGGGGAGGGAGGGGAAGGAAGGGGGAAAGGGGTGTAAAAAAGATGGAGGAATAAAATGGACATAATTTCCCTAAGTATATGTATGAAGACACGGTTGGTGTGAATATACTTTGTATACAACTAGAGATATGAAAAAATGTGTTCTATATGTGTAATGTGAATTGTAATGCATTCTTCTGTCACATATAACAAATTAGGATTAAAAAAATTTTAAAAAAGAAAGCTTTCATTAACCCAAAATTAGATTAAGATTTATTTCTATTTTCTTCTAGTTAAAAAAAATATTTTGATACAAATTTAAAAGGATGAAAGATAAATGAGTAAGAAGTGTTCAAAGGTTTGGAGTGAACATAAATTATCATGATATGTATTATGTAAAATATTATAATAATATTTGACATACATATTAAATATGCTCATGTTTGTACTTTTTCTTAAATAAAATACATTTTGTACTTTTACTTAAAATTGATTAAATTTTCAGTAATATAAAAAGCAAAGATGACAGTATAGCCATGTAAGCATCACTGAGATCAACCAAGGAAACACTGAAGATAAAACTGGGACCACTAGTGTACTTCTGCCCAGTTCTATTACTTTTTCTTTCTGCCCTCAGGTAATCTCTGGTAAGGATTTATTTTTACTGAGGATGTTCTTTCCACATAGGTTTGTATTGCAAAGCAATGTTTCCTTTTCTAGTTCAGAAATCAAGTAATTATGCATTTTTGTCTGTGATTATGTTTTGTATATTTTACTATTAAACTTAATTAGAATGAACGAATAATATTATACCACATTTTTTAAAAAAAATTTTTTCTCTTCGGTTCATGGAGAATGGAATCCACCCCCCCTTTTTTTTTTCATTCCAGATTTGTCGCTCTTATTTTATTTCCTTGTAACCTGCAAATCTAAAACCAAAATGTGGTATACGATGAATATTTTAGATTAAAATGTTAGCATATGTCCCACATGTCTCTCATTGTATCTGTATAAAATTGAGACATTCATTTAAATACCATTGTTTCCATAACCTATGCATGTTATATTTGATATATGTAGATATTTGATATAATTGTAGATATAGTATCTTTCACTGACTGAAACTTAAAGTATTTTAGCAGTAACAGCAAGAACATAATGAATCTTGAGTTTATAATGTGAGTTGGTAGAAAATTAAGGCTCTGCATAGTTTCTGAATAAATGTGTTTCGAGAAATATAAAAAAATATTTTTTTAAAATTGAATTCCCCATCTATTAGGTAGAAAATCCCAATTAAATTCATGGGCCTCTCCTTGGTTTAGGAAGGATCTTTCATAATCCCTGTTTTGAAGATATAGGCACTCATCCCAGATCCCTCCTTCAGATTTTGGGATCCTCTTCTCAGTCTCTGTGCCTTTTGCATCTCCATCATTTTGCTTTCAGAGAGCCACACTGGAGCTTGAGTCTTTTCGGAGGCTTTCCTCATACCACTGAATATTTCCCTGTCTGAAATCTTGCGACCTGTTTCAGGAAACTTGAAGCACAGGCATTGTACCATTGCTCTGGGTATTCCTTCTTAATCTTAATGGTTGACTTCCGGCCCTGAGGTTTTGGTCTCAGATTGGTTTAGGGAGTTTAGTCACATAAAAGCCGATGACTCTCAAATCCTAAATCCAGTACCAGACCCATATTTGGAGCATGGTTAAAAAGAGAACGTCCAGTAGCTCTTAAATCTAATAGCTCATTGGATACATGTCAGGAGCTTTTGAAACTAGAGTGGCTCCCACTTCTAACTCTGCAGCATCAGAATTTATCTTTTTGACAGTCATGGGAGATCTAGAGTAAATTTTCGAATTCCTCGCTGATGAACCTGGGGCTGGCCCCGCTTCAACCTCCTTTTCCATGTAAGTCTCCCAATTATTTTTCCAGTAGTCAGTCCCCCCTTCTTGGTCTCCTTCCTTTGGCCTTGCCCTCACCTTCCAGTCCGTCGCTGCAGCTGCCTGCCAGCCTATACGCGCCCTTTACCTGGCCTGCTCCCGGCTCCCAGCCCCGCCCCTCAGTTCCGCGTCCGCTCTGATGGCAGGCTCCTAACCTTCTACCGCCCCTTGCTTTCGGCTTGCAGCTACCACCACCGAGCCACGCCCCCTCCCTCCCAGCCCCGTTCCCACCTTCCAACCCCGCCTATCTCCTGGCCTAGTCTCTCTCTGCTTTGGCCTCTCTTCTCGGCTTCGCGCCCCTAGTCTTATGTCCCTCCTCACCATCCGTAAAATATTTAACCCTCACATTTTGTCGTAATAGTTCTTACGTTTACTCTGCGCCGGAAGGAGCGTTAGAGTTCTTTTGCTAGTATGGCGGCGGTGGATATCCGAGGTGATTTATCCCGTTATACCTTTTTTCCCTGATTGTGGACTGATTTAGGGGTTTGTAGCTCGCGGGGAATGTTTAGATTCCTTGGTCAGGTCCCTCAGGTTCTTTTGGATCATTTTTATGGACGACCCAAGGCTCTAATCTGGCGAAAAGTTAACAAGAGTTTTCCCTTAGTCTTGACGAGTCTCTTAAAAGCGTTGAAGGGGAGGGATTTGAAGCAACCATAGGCTTTGAGCCTTCAGAACTGCTGTAATCTTCTACACTTCTATCTCTGCAGCAATACTGGGGCTGTTATATCGGGGCGAAGAGGTGGCCTCTGGGCAGAGGGGAATGGTATAATGAGCCGACTTGATATGATTGATATCTTGGGGGCTTGTCCTGAGGTCACCTTATTTTTCCCCCAGTTCTTTTTATCGGTGCATTATAATTGTACAAAATGGTGGGATTTGTTGCTACATATCTGTTATGCACAGATTATAACAATATAATTTGGCTAATATGACTCCCCAACACTTCCTCCTGCCTCCCCGCCTCCTACTCTCTTGTTACCTTCCTCTGTTCTACTGATCTCCCGATTTTCATGAGATTCTCTCCCCTCTTTTCCTTTTTCCTCTTTTGCTTCCACATATGAGAGAGAACATACGACCCCTTCACCTTATTTGGCTTAACATGATGATATTTAGTTTCATCTATTTTCCTGCAAATGACATAATTTTATTTTTCTTTATGTGCCCGGGTCCTGCCCTAGCGGGGTCCAGGGAGTCCTGAAGAATGAGTGGCGTTGGCGAAAAGATGAGACAGGAGTCGGTCCATTGGAGCAATCTCCAGAGAGAGAGAGCTCTAATGTAGCTTTCTCTGGATCATCTTTTATTACAATTTTTCTCATCATTATAGATTCAGAATACGTCATTGATTATATAATTTAAAACTTTGCCAAGACATGACATTTCCTTATCTATGATTGGGAGTACAAAAAAAAATGTAACATTAATTTACATTTTTCCAGGGTATGACCTTTAGTTATTTAATTATTAAAAGTACAGAATCGTTAATAAAATATGGCACTAATTTACATTTTTCAGATTTTCCCAAGATTTACTATTTTCCCCAAGATATGCTATTTCTTATTAACTAATGCCAAACTACACAACCAGACTCTAAGTCTCCTAACCAATCATTAACCTTTAAGTTTAAAGTACACTTGTACTTTATCTAAAATTCCCATCTAAAGAAGTCCCCTTAAATCTTATACTTAAAACATCCTAAAGTTTATAAATCATTCTTAAAACATATCAGAAGCCCACACAACTAAAAACTTAAGAATTTCTAAACTTAAGAATCGAAATAATATTTCTAACATTATTCTAAAACTGTGTCTTATAAAGCTATTTTAATTAATTCCTAAATTTATTCTCATAAAACTGGTTGAGCTGCTTTCTCAAAGAGTTTCTTTGTTTCTCAGTCAAGGTGCTCTAGTTCTCACATCTTTATAATCTTTCTCAATAGAAAGTAAGTTCTAAACATCAATCCACTTTCCACCAATATTAACTGTGCTCATCATAAATCCTTATGTAAAGTAAAAAAGGGTTTATAAAAAGAGAAGAATATATCTTTATATGTTTTAACTTTCCTAAGTGTATAATATAACTTTCCTTAATCAAAAATGAGACTACATGTGGTGAGCTTTGTAAAATAAGCATAATGATTAGGTTTTCTAAGAGGCTGGAAATATGGGCTTGGGTTCTAGTTGATACAATCAATGTGATGCCTAAAATTCTCATGACCTTTCAGAGGATGATTGTTGTCCATTATCAGATTTGTCCTCAATGTACTGAGATAAAAGAACAGCCTTCTACTTTGTCCTTGATATGCTGAGGGGTAATAGAACAGCCTCCAGGGCATAAACTACCTGTTATTTTTCAGCCATCTGAAATTTAATTTGTTTGGCATTTAACATGCTCATGCCTCCTGTCAGGAACATAAGCATGAAAATGAAAAGTCCTAGTTACATTAAAAAAAAAAAAATAAGGGTCTCATGCTTTTGGTTTCCCACCAACCAGCGCGGCTTTGCCAGCATTCATCCTCACTGTGACCCTGTCAAGACAGTGGGAGAGCTGCTTTGCCAGCACTTTTTCTCACTGTGACCCTGTCAAGACAGTGAGTGGGGGATTGCCTTCACCATTTATGGCTGAATAAAACTCCACTGTGTATACGAACCATGTTTTCTTTATGCATTTATCTATTGACGGACATATAGCATGGTTCTAGAGTTTATAGCTATTATGAATTGTGCTGCTATAACATGGGTATGTGTGTAGCACTATAGTAGAATGACTTCAACTCTTTAGAATAAATATCCAGGAGTGGTATAGCTGGGTCATTTGGTGGTTCCCTGTCTAGTGTTTTCAGGAATCTCTGTACTGATTTTTATAGTGGTTGTACTAATTTAAAGTCCCACCAACAGTATAAATGTGTCCCTTTTCCTCCACGTCCTCTCCAACATTTATTATTTGTATTCTTGATGACTGCCCTTCCTACTGGTGTGAAGTTAAATCTCAATGTAGTTTTGATTTACATTTCCCAAATTGCTAATGAGGTTGAACATTTTCTCATATATTTGTTGGCCATTTATAGTTCTTTTGAGAAATTTTTATTTGCCCATTTAGTAATTTTTTTTTTTGGTGTTGAGGTCTTTATATATTCTAGATGTTAATCCTCTATCAGAAGAGTAGCTAGAAAAGACTTTCCCATTTTGTAGGTTCTCTATTAACATTCATAATTGTTTCTTTTGCTGTGGAAGTGTTTTAATTTGATGCCATCCCACTTATTAACTCTTAGGATTATTTTCTGAGATCTTATGGGAAAGTTGTTGCCTGTTCCTGTATGCTGAGTTATTGACCCTATGTTTTCTTCTAGAAGCGGCATGGTTTCTGGTCTACTTCCTAGGTCTTTGATCCATTTTGGGTTGATTTTTGTGCATATGGATAACCAGATTTCCCAGCACCATTTGTTAAAATGACTGTCTTTTCTCTCATGTACGTTTTTGTTGGGCCACCTTATTCTTTAGGTCATACCCCCATGGGTGTCTGGATGGGAAGTGTTTCTGTGGTAAATTTTATTTTTGGGTTTGTAATACCTTCCATTGAACACCCACTAGTTATTGAGGGCAGGGTTGTTTCTTTTTCACAGCTGAACAGTAGAGGCATTCAAATATTTGTTCTATTAGTGAGTAAACATATGGAGATGTGACCTCTTAATTGCTTCCTTGATCTTGGGTAGCAGGAAGACTTTTTTTTTTTTGGTTTATACTTGATTTTTGAAATGTTTGTGAGGCGCCTTTTTCTATGTTAATCAAATTGAGGTCTAGAAGACTTACTGATAGTTCTTTAGTGATCGTCAGCATTTCTGGATCCTGTTTTTTACCTCTTTGTCTTTCATTGTAAGTAATTATTTCAAATGCCTACTTTGGTTACTTTCAGTTTGTTAGAATGCTGTACTTGAGCTATGTCAAAAGGCTGTTTTGCTGATGAGAGAAACATTTATTCCATACAACTATATTCAGATGTTTGGCTTTTGTAATGTTTTACTTTTTATTTAGATTTGTTAGGGTCATAGTAAAGGCTCTAAGATAGAAGTGTATTAGAGGAACTTAGCAAGAAGGTTGGTATAGCTAGGGGTGAAGTAGAGATGATGTGGGAAGGAGATTGGATTAGAGGGGTGTCAGACTGGGGTAAGGTCTTTGGCTTTTCCTCTGAGTGAAATGGAGAGTCATGGAAGGGTTTCACTAGAGGGATGACCTGTTCTGACGATTTCTTTATTTTTCTTTCTCCTAATAAAAATCACTTTGTTTGCTGAAAACATTGAAGGAGGTCAAGAGTAGAATTAGAGAAATCCGTTAGTAGGCCACTTCTGCAATATGTGGCAATTAGGAGGTAGTTTTAAAGTAGAGTGTAACAATGAAGGTAGTAAGAAGTGGTTGCAGTCTTTATGAGGCTGTAGTCACAGATACTTTCCAAGTGGAAATAGATAATTATGTGGTTTTCTAGCTGTAGCCCATATTCCTAATATCAGCCATTTTGAAGATGAACATTCTTGAATATTGGAGTCTGTGTTAATGAGTTGAAAAAGATGTATGATTACTAAAGCACATCATACTTGTCCTTGGCCCTCAGTCGTGAACTAATAAGCATTTGCTCATTACTGTGAATCAGGTCCTGTGAAAGTTGTTGATGAGTAAAAACTCAAAAGAGTTTAATGGAAGCACATTTGTATTTCCGAGTTACAGGTATTAATAACAAAAACGTGCAAAAATTGCTGTTAAGGACAGAGAAAAAGCTGCCACCACCATCAACATATTTGAAATTTATTGGGCTATTACAGTGTGCTAAGTGTTTTACATATATGGTCTAGTATGTATAATTATAGATCCTACTTACCAACAATTATGGAGAATTAATAGGTAGGATTTAAAATGATGAGAGCCTGGTAGAGAAGACAGTGGCAATGCTTAGAAAAGTAAAGACACACAAGAAACATTTTTAGGGAGAAAAAGAGACAATTTTCCTTGGAAATTAAAAGAAATGTGTAAGTAATTTTGTTATAAATAAAACTGTTAATAATTGAACCATTGAATTTAAAGCTAATGATTATCCTAAATTGCCTTGCATTAGAAAAACCATCATTTTCAGAAAATGTTATGTCTTGTTCTGTTGTATATTTGGTTATGGCATGATATATTGATGATGAACATACTAATTATTTGGTCATCAGCATACTTCATCTGTTTGTCTCCACCTATGTTTTAGAGCACACAAAGCATAGTTTACATTTTTACTTAAAATAAATATTTGAACTTTTTTTCATTTGATTTATTTTGCTCAGCATTGCTTGTCACCTTGAATTTCTTCTGACTTCTTTAAAGATACCAGAAGCAATTGCAATATAGGGGATGCTGAAGTTTTTCAACTACTATTATATAGATTTTTTTTTTTTTTTTTTTTTGGTACCAGGGATTGAACCCATGGGTACTTAACCACTGAGCCACATCTCCAGCCCTTTTTATATTTTATTTTGAGATAGGGTCTCACCGAGTTGCTTAGGGCCTCAGCCTCCAAGCGCTGGGATTACAGGTGTGTGCCACCATACCCAGGTTATATAGGTATTTTGATATTCACGATTTAGGCCTATTTATCATAGTCAGTAGACAATAAAAAGTCATTCATTCAAGGTGTCTATTTACTATGTCTTTTTAAAATTTAATTAATTCTAACCTGAAATATGAAACGATGTGATTATAAGAAGGGAATTTTACCTAATCATTTGCCCCCTAATTTTGACACATTATCATCTTGTCTATAATAATGGCTCCTAAACTTATTTGTTCCTATTGAGAGATCTCAAACTGTTGGCTGTGAATGTGTTTGAAATTTTTGAATTATATGCCAACAAATAAAAACTCAAAATTTACCTTTTGGAGGGGAGGGTATTGGAGGTTGAACCTGGGGGTGCTTTACCACTGAGCTGCATGCCCAGCCCCCCCCCCTTTTTTTTCCGTTTTTCACTTTGAGACAGGGTTTAGGTTTCCTAGGCCTCAAAACTTGTGATCCTCCTACCTCAGCATTCCGAGTAACTGGGATTACAGGGATATGCCACCATGCCTGGCAGGATTTCCAATTAAAATATATACATATAGGGGCTGGGGATGTGGCTCAAGCGGTAGCACGCTCGCCTGGCATGCGTGCAGCCCGGGTTCAATCCTTAGCACCACATAGAAACAAAGATGTTATGTCCGCCGAAAACTAAAAAATAAATATTAAAAAATTCTCTCTCTCTCTCTTTTTTTTTTAAAAAAATATATATATTTTAGTTGTAGATGGTCACAATAACTTTTATTTATTTTTATGTAGTGTTGAGGAACAAATACAGGGCCTCACACATGCTAGGCAAGCACTCTATCACTGAGCTACAACCCCAGCCCCAGGATTTCCAATTTTTAAAAAGAACTTTCTAGATCTCTAATCTTAATATTCCCTCACTTAATCAAATTACTCTTTAAACATATTTTACGTATTCATGTATATACTATGTAAAGTAAAAATATATTAAACATATGCATATATTTTCATACCATCCTGTGTTCTTCCTTTTCCTCCATGTGATTCTCAAAGAGCTAAAACCCACCTCCCCTCAATGAAAAATCTAGGTATTCCCTAGGAATTCTTATCCTTCCTTGGTGCTTTCAAATTATTCATACCCTAATTCTAATACTTAGATATTCTAACACTTTATTTTGTGTTGTCATTGTTTTCTTGCATATTTCTCTCTTCTGTTTAGTACATAGATTAGTATTCATGTTATTCTTTTATTCATGGTGTCTGCTATATTAGATGCATAAGGATGCCTCGGATTAGATTCTTTTGCTTTTCTGATTCTTTATTATTATTTTTTCCCCCCTGTAGATAATCTCCTGGGAATCTCTTGGGTTGACAGCTCTTGGATCCCCATTTTGAACAGTGGTAGTGTCCTGGATTACTTTTCAGAAAGAAGTAATCCTTTTTATGACAGGACATGTAATAATGAAGTGGTCAAAATGCAGAGGCTAACATTAGAACACCTGAAGTAAGTTATTTTAAGAAGGTAACATCTTTGCAGACTAGAGATTTTGTAGTACACATTCTTTTAAGTTGTGGATCATGAAGTACAAGATTTGGTAAAGAAACTGAAATTTTGTGTGCGTTTGTTATAAATATGACATTCAAGGAAATTATTAGAAGTCTCTTGTAACTTATAACTCTTCTAAATAACAATGTTTATTTAAAATAATAACAAGTTTAAATGTTGTTCTGAGTGTTTTTAGCAATGCAGCTTCTTAATCATACAATTGTGATTATTGTCCCCTTTAAATCTAATTTAATGTTTTCTGGTTTGTAATAGGTTTTTCTCTGTATGACAAATAAAGAAAATATAATTTTAGTTAAACACAATCAAGATTCTTTAGACTTAGGATGCAAAATAATCAAGAATTTATTGCTATTAAAAACATTTCTGAAACTATATATAATAATTCTGCATTTGTCCCCAAAATACTGTGGGGGTGGGTTTTAGGAAATTAATTTCTATGGCATTTTGAATAGCTTTTTGTTGCAGGTCAAAAAAATGAGTTGGGGTGAGGATAAAATCTTTGGTGTTTTGGATAAAATGTACAGTTGGGCCTTCATGTTTATTTTTATTTTTTATATATATTTATAGTTCTTGATTAGGAAGCACCATAGTATTTTGAATGCCTTTTTGAAAAAGATACTTTCAGCTCACTTTTCTGCCTGAATTACTCAGATTTAAATTCATGCTGATTTTTAAAAAAATATTTATTTTTAGTTTTTTTTTTAAGTGGACACATTATCTTTATTTTACATTTATGTGGTGCTGAGGATCAAACTCAGTGCCTCAAGCACTCTACCACTGAGCCACAACCCCAGTCCCTTATGGTGATTTTTTGTAGAAAAATTTTGTTGCTTAAAAGTAAATCTTGCCAGATGTAGTGGCACATGCCTGTAGTCGGTCTTGGGATTAGGGCTGAGGCAGGAAGATTGCAATTTCAAAGCCAGCTTCAGCAACTTAGCAAGGCCCTAAGCAACTCAGTGAGACCCTGTCTCAAAAAATTAGAAAGGACTAGGGATGTGGCTCAGAGGTTAAGCACCCTTTCGTTCAATCCCTGGTACCAAAAACAAAACAAAACAATCTAACTTTATATCACCTCTCTGGAAAAGCAGCCAGTTCTATTTGACTGCCAGGTTTTAACATCAAACATAGGCAGTTTTAATCCTATTTAAAATGTTGCTGCACTTTTAGATTGTTCTACAAAATTGTAGGCATTCAGAGATCTCTGGGTTTCTCTCTGTTTTAGTCAGATGGTTGGAGTTGAGTATATCCTTTTACATGCTCAGGAGCCCATTCTTTTCATCATTCGGAAGCAACAGCGGCAGTCCCCTGCTCAAGGTAAGATATGTAAACTTCAGGCATTATTTTCTTTAAAAATACCATTATTTATTTCTTATTTTTTGGATTGAGTTCTGTTTGCTGAGTCCCCAGGATCACATAATTTTCAGTATGTTGCTGTGTGTGTGTGTATATGAACATAAATAAGAATGCACAACCAGATTAGTAATGAAAAAAGATAAGGGAGAATCTATATGAATCTGTGTGCAAATTTTCTGTGCTTTCCCTCTTGTGAGGAACCACACTAAGTGTGCTCTCCATTCACCAGTGAGATGTAGTCACATGTTTGTGTCTGCTCAGAGAAACCCATTTGAGACTCTGGACCCAGAATATTTTTTTGAGGATTCATCAAATAAGCATCCTCTACAGAATTCCAGACTCCCAGAAGGAAATCAGGTGCCTACATACTCACTGTACATTTTTTCTGAGTAGGCTGGTAAAGCAGGCATAACTCTCTTTTAGGAAATGTTTAAAAAGTCATGCTGGGGCTTTTGCAACACGCCCAAGGACCACTCTCCAAACACTAATAGAATAAGAGGCCAGGTAGTGCTGTCTCAGCTATAACTCCCAATTAGATACCCTCATCAAGACATTTAGAAACAACTCTTAGTATTGATTTCAGAGAATGACTCGCTAAAGAAGTTGTGGTTCCAGAATCCAATTTATTTTCAAAATACAGGCGTTACAGAGAATCAGAGAACCTTAGAAGAAAGTCAAGACCATATGAAAGAATTCAGAATACAGAAGCTGCATAGAATGGCATCTGGCTAAATAGCAGCTGTCATATTCCTTAGGACTCAGCCCTGGGGTAATCTTTTGCTTTAAAGGTTTTACTCCCAAAAGTTAGGTTGAATGACCAGAGCATCGGCAGTACTTGGAAACTTGTTAGAAATGCAATATGCTTACCAAATAAGCATCTAATTTTAAAGAGATCCAGATGCACATTAAACTGATTTAATGTGATTCAGATGTATTTATTTGACAAGCACTGCTGTTGTGTAAGAGTCAACATACTTTTTCTGTGAAGAGCCAGAGAGTAAATTATTTTTTATTTTGTATTGGGGATTGAACCCAAGAGCGCTTTACCACTGAAATTACATCCCTGGCCTTTTTTATTTTGAGACAGAGTCTGAGTTGTCAAGGCTGGCCTTAAACTTAAAATCTTTCTGCCTCTTTTGCTTGAGTTGCTATGATTATAGGCATATAGTACCTGCCCGAGAGTAACTTCTTTAGGCTTTGTAGGCCTTAGACTCTGACAGATTTTCAACTTTTTTTTTTTTTAACTGGGGATTGAACTCAGGGGAACTCAACCAGTGAGCCACATCTCCATCCCTATTTTGTATTTTATTTAGAGATAGGCTCTCACTGAGTTGCTTAGCGAGCGCCTCGCCATTGCCGAGGCTGGCTCTGAACTCATGGTAGTCCTGTTTCAGCCTCCTGAGCCACTGGGATCACAGGCATGCGCCACCAAGCCCAGCCAGATTTGCAACTATTGCCAAAGCAGCCATAGGTAATATGTAATGAATGGTTATGGCTGTTTTCCAGTACCACTTTATTTACAAAAACAGGAATTGCCAAACCTTGCTTAAGATGCAATATGGCAAATGTCAAATTTTAGTTGTTCTTTTTTGTGAAAATCTAGCAGTTTGTGCTCATAGCTGGTTCATAAACATTTTTTTTTCCCTTATGCTTTAGTTATCCCACTAGCTGATTACTATATCATTGCTGGAGTGATCTATCAGGCACCAGACTTGGGATCAGTTATAAACTCCAGAGTGGTAAGTGTTCTTAACCCAAAAGAAAACTTTCAGTTTAGCTGCCCTGTTTCTAAGAATCAAGTAGGAGCTCTTTTGTGTAAGTGGTATAAAGTACTATTGGAATGTCTTGAACATTGTTTACTTTAGGCCAAATCAATACTACTACACACATTTGGCCTTCTGTATTCACAGTTTCACATCCATAGATTTAACCACTGTACAATGAAAATACATTAAAAAAAAAAAAAGAAATACACCTGTGCTGAACACATACAGATTATTTTCTTGTCATTATTTCCCTAATAATACATTATAATAACTATTTACATAACATTATAACATTTTGATAAGTATTCTAAAAATGAGTTAAAGTATATAGGAATGTGTATGTAGGTTATAATTCATTTTATATAAAGAATTTGAGTATATATGAATTTGGTATCTGAGAAATCCTGGAACCAATACACTATAGCTCCAGTTATATACTAATTTAGTTAAGTTCTAAAAAGTACACAATTGCTATCTTTGCATATGTAACATTTTGTGACTATTTACTTTTGGGAATTTGGTTGACCTAGTAAGAAATTTAGAATTTGTTTTCTTATTACAAGCTTACTGCAGTGCATGGCATCCAGTCAGCTTTTGATGAAGCTATGTCATACTGTCGATATCATCCTTCTAAAGGATATTGGTGGCACTTCAAAGATCATGAAGAGCAAGGTACGTAGAACACCTAAGCCCTTCTAAAATGGTTTTTGAGCCTCTAATGATGAAACTTTTTTTTTTTTTTTTTTTTTTTTTGTGGTACTAGGTTTGAACCCAGGGGTGTTCTACAACTGAGCTACATCCCCAGCCCTTTTTATTTTTATCTTGAGATAGAGTCTAAATTGCTGAAGCTGATTTTGAACTTGTGATTCTCTAGCCTCAACCTTCAGAGTCTCTGGAAATACAGAAGCTGTTTTCTGATGACTATTAACGTTTTTCAGGTGTGCTTTACTTTTTCATAGGGTAGTGACATTGTTACAGTTGTGATTCATATACTACATGTGGTAATAAAAAGTTTCATATAGAAATATAATTTATTCTGATAGATAGCTGATAATCTTTGTGAAGTTAATTCAAGGTTTTGAAATATTTGGAGCATAAAGAGGAGAAACAATGATGAAGAAAAGCAAAGATGTTTCCTACTTACCTAACTATTGAGTCATCCTGGAATTTGGAACCCTTTATCTTCCACTATTTAAAGTGGGGATTAGAGGTGTTGCCTTTAGATCTCCATTTCCAGACGACCAGGCTGTTTTCTGATGATTCTATGTTATCATCTGTCATAGTATCAGGTTCCCTAGTTCCCATGGTTGCTTACCTATTACTGTTCTTGTGTTAGTCAGCTTTGTGTTGCTGTGACCAAAATACCCAACAAGAACAACTTATAGGAGGAAAACTTTATTTTTAGCTCACAGTTTTTAGGCCATGGTCAACAGACTTCATTACTCCAGACCCAAGGTGGGGCAGAATATTATGGCTGGAGGGCAGTAGCAGAGGAAAATTGTTTACCTCATGGCTGCAGAGAAGCAAAGAGTGGGGAGGAGCTGCAAGGAAGATGAACCTTTCTGGAGTACTCCCTCAGTGACCCACCTCCTTAAGTCAAGTCCTATCAGCCTACAGTTAACACAAGGTTAGTCTACTCAAACTTTGATGGACCAGTTAGGTTATAGCTTTCATAATCTAATCATTTTATCTTGGAATATTCCTGCATTAACCCAGGAGCTGTTGGGGACATCTCATATTCAAACTATAACACTTTTCCACCATATTTTACCAGGAAAACCTATTCCCAGAAATGTGTTTTTATATCTGGCTTTTCCTTCTCTGAGCATGACAACTCATAATACATTACTATGGGAAAGGTAGCCATTATATAGAATTCAGACCTTTGGAATGGTTTTCAGATACAGTTATTTTAATTCCTAATAGTAGCTGTAGGCAACAACATTTGATGTTGGAAAGTTTGTCTTAGTTGTCCCATGGGCTATTTTACCTTACCTTAAGAAAGTTTGGACTAATACTTATCTGGAATCCTTCATTAAGAGATAGTTCCCCAATATCCTTCCTGCTACCAGCACAAATCTCATATGTGAATAACTTTACAATTTCTCTTTTAGGTTCTTTTTTTTTTTTCCTTGTTTTTGTGATCTGTTTTTGTTTTGTTCAGTGGATCACAGTCTTTATAATTGAGCATGGTAACTTAAGTTTGTGAAACATGCTTATTCCATTTGCTGCTAGAAGATTTTTTGGAAAAAGATCACACAATATGCTAACAATATACAAAAACAATTTCAGACCAATAATCTGGATTGTAATTTAGGTAATTAAAGCTTAAAACAGTCTACCCTTGTTTATATACTGAAACTGCGTATCTTTAAAAGATATGTATGTCAGCTTCTTAAGTTTTAGAATTGAACATCATTTGCTAGGCATGGTGATGAACTCCAGTAATCCTAGTTACTTGGAATACTGAGGCAGGAGGATTGCAAATTTAAGGTAAGCCTTGCCATCTTTGTAAGACCCTGTCTCAAAATGGAAAATTAAAAGGACTGGTATTATGGTTTGGATGTCAGGTATCCCCCAAAAGCTTACATAAAAGACAGTGCAAGAAGGTTCCAAGGAGAAATGATTGGATTTGAGAGTTTTAACCCAATCAATTGATAGGGATTGAGTGGTAGGGTGAGGCTGGAGGAAGGGGGAATTGGGGTGTGGCTTTGGGATATACATTTGTATCCAGCAAGTGGAGAACTCTTTCTCTGCTTTCTGTTCATCATGTGAGTTGCTTCCCCCTGCCACACTCTTCCACCATGGTGATGTTCTGCATTATATCAAGCCCCCAGGAATGGAACCGGCCTTCTATGGACTAAGGCCTCTAACACTGTGAGCCCTCAAATAAACTGTTCCTCCTCTACAGTTTTGCTGGTCAGGTCCTTTAGTTACAGCAGCAATAAATAAGTACATACATACATACATACATACATACTGACTAAAACAACTGGGAATGCAGCTCAGAGAAGAACACACCTGGGTTCAATATCCTCAGTATTTTTGCCAAAAAAGAAGAAAAATTCATTATTATGTGCTGTGTTTAGCATATATGGGGAATTGTGTTGGTATAGCAGCCATTGAAAATAATGATGTTTGAGCCTTGTGTGGTGGTGGATGCCTATAATCCCAGTGACTCAGGAGGCTGAGGCAGGAGGATCACAAGTTTCAGGGCAATCTCAGCAATTTAGCAAGGGCCTAAGCAACCTATCGAGCCTCTGTCTCAATAAAAAATAAAAAGGATTGGGGATGGGTGAAGCAGTCCTAGGTTTAATCTCTAATACCCCTCCCCCACCACAACAATGAAGTTCAAATATTTCTAAGTGGGTCAAGATTTGTAAGATGACACAACAAACTGATTAGGCAATGTTTTTTGATTTGGATTTCATATTTTAATAGATAAAGTCAAGCCTAAAGCCAAAAGGAAAGAAGAACCAAGCTCTATTTTTCAGAGACAGCGTGTGGATGCTTTACTTGTAGATCTTAGACAGAAATTTCCACCCAAGTTTGTGCAGGTAATGACTATGTGTGGCTAATTTTAATTTGACTTTTTTTTTTTTTGGTGACATACATGTTTATTTTAAATTGACAACTGTTTCAAGTATGACCTAAAATGACTGGTTTTCCTGAGTAGTTAAAAAATTACCTCTGAATCAAAGGGAAGGTATCAGAAGACTAAGTGGAAGAAATGAATAAAGGGGGTTGTGTTCCTTACTAAATCTTGCAAACTATGAGGCTGGCATGTAGATAATACTCTAATTCAGAAAGTGACAAAATTAGAATATAAAATTCATATTCTTTTCACTCTACAAGCTGACTTCTAGCCTGTTACAGTATTAAGCTCCTTAAATGATGGAATTCTTTTGTAACAAAAAATAATAGGTGGGGCATGGTGGTGTACATTTGTAATCCCAGCAGCTTGGGAGGCTGAGACAGGAGGATTTTGGGTTCAAAGCCATCCTCAGAAAAAGCAAAGGGTAGAGGATAAGAAAGGTAGCAGAATACAACAGTTACTAATAGGGCATTATGTAAAATTGTGGATGTGTAACGGACGTGATTCTGCAATCTGCATTTGGGGTAAAAATGGGAGTTCATAACCCACTTGAATCTAATGTATGAAATATGATATGTCAAGAGCTTTGTAATGTTGTGAACAACCAATTAAAAAAAAAAAAAAGAAAAAGCAAAGTGCAGGACTGGAGTTGTGGCTCAGTGGTATAGCGCTTTCCTAGCATGTGTGAGGCCCTGGGTTCGATGCTCAGCACCATATAAAGATAAATAAATAAAGGTATTGTGTCCATCTACAACTGAAAACAAACAAACAAACAAAAAAGTGTTAGGGCTAGGGTTGTGGCTCAGTGACAGAGTGCTTGCCTAGCATGTGTGAGGCCCTTGATTCGATTCTCAGCACCATATAGAAATAAATAAATTAAAGGTTCACCACGAACTAAAAAAATATTAAAAAAAAATAATAAAGCCAGGTGCTAAGCAACTCAGTGAGACCCTGTCTCTAACTAAAATACAAAATAGGGCTGGGGATGTGGCTCAGTGGTTGAGTGCCCCTGAGTTCAATCCTTGATATTCCCCCAAAACTAATAGAATGTGTGATAGAGGGTTTGGTCTAGTAAAGGGGTAAGTGGGAATACTAATTGAGTTACACCATATTGGTATTTAAGTTATATGAATTCCACAGTGTGGTATATATATTACTATTGTGGTTACAATAGTAAACCCATCTGCCGTCCCACTAAATGAACTTTTAAAATGAAGTGATTAAGAGATGGATTATATGAATATGTCATTTTCATGGTTAGTCTTTGTTCTTATGGAACTTTATAGGATTGTGTATATCTACGATAGTGTATACTGTTGTTCCTTGAAGCTATTTAAAGGATTTTCAAAGGTAGTTTTAAATTAAATGAAGTGTTTCATACTATGGGATGACTTTGGAGTAGATCTCCCCTTCCTCTTTTGCAGACCTTTTATAGTGAGAAACATGTGTTATTGGAATGGTTATCTGGTAGTGAAGGGAGCAGAGGATGCAAATTGGAATATAGGACAAGAAAGCCTGTTTAGAAAAATCTGGTGTATTATATTTGAAAATGGAACAATGTTTGTTGAGTAAGTAAATGAATGAATTATAGCTGTATGCCAGGTGATGAGCAACCACTATTGGATTTAAGAGGTTAATTGTGGTTGGCCATTTATTCAGTGAGTATTTGCCAAATAGACTGAGGGAGGAACACCTGGATGTTCAGTGTTCAGTACAGTAGCCACTAGGCACATGTATTGAGCACTGGAAACAAAGCTAGTCCAGATTGAATTGTGATATAAAGGTAAAATGTACTAGATTTTAAAGACAAACCAAAAAATTTTTTTTAGATGTATTTCATCAAATGAAATATAATAATCTTGTTTCTTTTTAAAAATGTGACTAAGAAATTAAAAATTGGGCTGGGATTGTGACCCCATGGTAGAATGCTTGCCTAGCACGTGTGAGGCACTAGGCGATCCTCAGCACCACACAAATAATAAAATAAAGGTATTGTGCCCATCTACAACTAAAACAGTATATATATTAAAAAGAAATTTAAAATTACAGATATAACTTGCATTTATAACTCATTTCTTTTGATCTAATTAGTTATACATGACACTAGAATATATTTTGATACATCATACATAAATGTAGTATAACTTCTCATTCATCTGGTTTATAGATGTAAAGTTACACAGGTCATGTAATCATATGTGCACATAGGGTAATAATGTCCAATTTATTCTGTCAATCCTACCCTTGTGCCCCCTTCCCTCCCTTCACTCCTCTCTGTCTAGTCCAAAATACCTCTATTTCCCCTGCTCCCCCTTATTGTGAATTAACATCTATATAACAGAGAAACATTCAGCTTTTGGTTCTTTGGGTGGTTTTGCTTAGTATGATATTCTCCAATTCTATCCATTTACTGGCAAATGCCATAATTTCATTCTTCTTTAAAGATGAATACTATTCTGTTGTGCATATATTCCACAATTTCTTTAACCATTCATCTGTTGAAAGGCACCTAGATTGGTTTCATAGTTTAGCTATTGTGAATTGAGCTGCTGTAAACACTGATGTTTCACTCATTTCTTTTGAGTAATGCTGATCTAAAAAATAGTAATAGAAAAACAGAAAGGTGAAGAGTATTAGTAAACATGTGCTGAGAAATTGAAAAATGCTTTTGAGGAAGAAAGGGAATAATAATGGAAGATGAGACATCAAAATGAAGGTCAAATTGAGAATGATTTTGTATGCCATGCAAAGAAATTTGGGTTTATTCCTGAAGAACAGGATTCACTATTTTAAACTATAACTCATTACCACCTCCATAAACATAGCAGGCTTCCAGCTGCATTCAGAGGTACTTGAAGTATTAAAATAATAGCTATTATCATTGGAGATAAGTCAAATCAGTGTTAAATATTGTGTGTGTGTAAACATATGCAAACACACATATATACGTGTATATACACAAATACATATTGATAGTTCTGTACATCAAAGTCAAAGCCTTGTGTGTACATGCACTCTAAGTCAGTTACATCCCAAGCCCTTTAATGTATACATTTTAAGTGCATACTCCAAAACACTAGTGTATTAGAATATTTCTCTTCCCTATCTTCAAGGTCACTTTTAGTGACCAGCTAATATTTCTATTACTTACGGCAATAGATACCTAATGAAATTTTTAAAAGTAGTTACAGGAGAGAGTAATATATAGTAGTCCCCATATATATGATTTTGCTTTCTGCAGTTTCAGCTATTTCAACCATGGTCTGAAAATATTAAGTGGAAAATTATACAAATAAATAATTTGCAAGTTTTAAATTGCATCCTGTGCTGAGTAGTGTGATGAAATCTTATGCCATTCTGCTGTGTCCCTCCTGGTAAATGATCATTCCTTTGTTCAGTAGATACACACTGTGTGTGCTACTTACCCATTAGTCACTTAGTAGCTGTCTTGGTTATCAGTTGTTTCATCACAGTGCTTGTGTTAATGCAACCCTTATTTTACTTAATGTCTCCAAAGCACAAGAATAGTTATGCTGATAGTTTGCATATGCTAAAGTAAGCTGTAAAGTGCTTACTTCAAGATAAAAGTTCTCAACTTAAAGATAATTATGTGCTGTGATTGCTAAGATGTATGGTAATAATGGATCTTCTATCTGTTATAATGTGAGGAAGGAAAAGAGAAATTTATGTTAGATATGCTGTCAAAACTCCAACTGTAATTAAAACAGTAGTGTTTAAGTGCTTAATTAAGATGCAAAAGCCATTAAATTTGTAAGTGGAACATTAGAACACTAAACACATTCTGATGAACATTGTGTTGCACAAGAAAGCACTGAGTCTATATGAAGACTTCAGCAAAGGATCTCCTGAAATTAGTGATACTTAGCCATTTACTAGAAGTAAGGAATGTTTACACAGATTTAGGAATTTGGATTAAAGAATATAAAAATTATTGGAGAGGCTGTTTGCTAATGAAGAACTTGATTACAGCAGTATTTAACCTGATTTAAGGAGACATATCATGAGAAGGTCAATAGTAGTCTAATACTATGTTAAATTGTTTATATCATTCACCTCACTTCATGTAATATAGGCATCATCTCACATCAAAGAATTGTGAGTATGGTACAGTAAGATTTTTAGAGAGAAGCCACATTCGTGTAACTTTTATTATAATATATTGTTTTAATTGTTCTATTTTATTATTACTTATTGTTGTTAATCTCTTATTAAGTTAAACTTTATCATAGGTATTTGTAGGGAAACATAGTATATATAGGTTTGGTACTACTATAGTTTCAGGCACCCACTGAGGTTCTTGGCAAGTATTTCCTCCAAGGATAAGAGGATGATCATCTTCACTTTGTATTATAGAAAGATAACTAATAACAATGTAGGGGATGCTTAGGAGGCTGAAGTTTGGAGTCAGGGAATTTAGGTTGAAGAAAGTCTAAATTTATTCTGTGGACATGGGATAGAGAAGAGACAGATTCAAGAGATATTTCAGTCAGGATAACTTAAATTTGGAGGGTGGGTTTGGTAAGATTGGCATTAAAGATGATGTTTGAGGCCTAGAATTAGACTAGGTATTGCTTGTTAACCAGAATTCAGAATATAGGAAAAACAGTAGATTTTTGTTGAAATATAGTTGTTAGGATTTTGTTTACATTGAATAACCTTCAGAATATTCAGCAACTTCTGTGTTTGAGTTCTGAGGTACTCTGATGAGTGAATACTCTATTTTTCTGGCTGAGAGTCCTGCTTTGAATCATTTATGCTATTCTGTCCTGATGAGCTAGACATAGACTTAGCTCTTCAAACAAAAAAAGCATAATCTTATAGAACATGAAAATTTCAAAAATATACAAAAATAGAATAATGAAAAACAAGGAACTGGGGATATTGCTCAGTGGTAGAGTGTTTGCCTAGCATGCATGAGGCCTTAGCTTCAATCCTGGTACC